CATATTTTATACATGCAAGCATGTAATTGTCTCTTGAATTATGACTTTCTGAAATCAGGTCTTTTAGAGAATAATCATATTTTAAAATATCTGCCTTTACCTGTGGTGTTAATGCTTCATACTATAAAGGTTTTTTAATATCATTTAGTCTTGTTTTTCCATCTGGCTTTTGCTCTCCTGCAATAGCATTTATGTTCACACATATTTTATACATGCAAGCATGTAATTGTCTCTTGAATTATGACTTTCTGAAATCAGGTCTTTTAGAGAATAATCATATTTTAAAATATCTGCCTTTACCTGTGGTGTTAATGCTTCATACTATAAAGGTTTTTTAATATCATTTAGTCTTGTTTTTCCATCTGGCTTTTGCTCTCCTGCAATAGCATTTATGTTCACAGTACTGTAGAAGGCTGGGGCAGGTGGCAAGTGGCAGGTTATTCAAGAGAAATTTGCCTTTTACCTCCAAACATTTATTCATACTAGGCTTAACTCCTCCCTCGGGTTTCTGACTAACTCCATTAGAAGGCTTGCAAACTTCTGTGGCCTTGGTTGTAAGGGAGGTCACAATGGTCCCAGCTGGCTTTAGAATCTCAAAGCCCAGCTATAGCTTTTAACAAAACAATTGGCTCGCAAAAAATAGGAGCGTATCTCTTTAAAAAGAATTGTCCCAAAGTTGAACTTTTCTGTTCGAGTATCTGTTTGCAAAGTCCATGATTCCTCACAGTTTAAACATTAAATGCAGCAAAGCTCTGCATTCCCCCACTTAACATATATGTTAACGTTAGGCACTATAAAAATACTTACCTCCATGTAATCTGAACTCTGAACAAGGTAAGTGAGACTCTCAGGGCTTTGTTCATGGCTTCTGTGGCAGAAGAAAATTACAAGGCCTAAGCCCCAATCCTCCAAAAACTAAAGCATGTATGTAACTCTGTGTATGAGGCTAGTGAAATCCTAAGAAATTCCTTTTAACCCTGTCACTGCAGCATTAAGCAAGTGTGCACGATGATGGAAGATTTGCTAAAGCATTCCCAAGGTGGTTGTAAATTAAATTGTTATATGTAACAAATACATTTGTACTGTGCAAATACATTGTCCATCAAGATGTGTATGGCACTTTATCCCTAGATCTCAGACTAATTTGCAGGGACTGGAAAACCTTCCCTCCTCTGCCTCAAAGTCACTGTCTGAGCTATGGAAAGATTGGATATTGAAATATTCATTAATTGGGGTTTATCTCCAGGCACTTTAGGTTTCAGAAAAGAAAATCTCACACTGTTCATGACCAGACAATAAATCAAAACTGGATGCTGAGTTCCTAAATGTGATGGAAGATCTTCTCAGACTAATTTGATCCTGTAATATTTCAGGAACGTCTTAGAATTTTACACGAGTGGTGGGAATAAGGGAGGCATTAGACCCAATTCTCCTATTTGTGGCTTCTCAGTAATACAGATTCTATGCCAACAGCTCCATTTCTTTCCCTCTCTTAGCTACCTAATGAATTTCATCCTCGATGCCATACTGGGGGTGCTGCTGATCTGGTTTGGTGTGAAGGTTGTCTCCTGCGTTGTGGAGCATCGCAAGTACACATACTTAGTCTTTGGAAAGTATGGTAGGTAGAGGACAACCCAACTCTTTTCCCTCCTCACCCTCACAATATTTTTTCTCACCTTTGCACACACAAGGCAGCAAGTGCACACTTTTCTTTATTGGAAGACTCAAGCTAATCAAACTTACATTGGGTGCATTCAGAGAAAATACTGTTGCAGTTAATTTTCATAGCTCCCTGTCAGTCATACTAGAGTTTACCTTTTATACTTAAAAAGTCATGAAATCACTAGCTAACAAATAGATCAGAGTCCACCTGCACGCCCTACTCGGCAAAAGTAAACATTTCCCTCTCCAACTCTTTGATATCCACCCATTCACTCTACCTCTCTAGGGCTGTGTCCAGACTCAGGGGTTTTTTCAGGAAAAGTAGCCTTTTTCCGAAAAAACTTCCCCTGCGTCCAGACTCAAGCCGCGTTCTTTCGAAATTAAATCGAAAGAACGCGGCTTTTCTTTCGATGGCGGTAAACCTCATTTCACGAGGAAGAACGCCTTCTTTCGAAAGTTCCTCTTTTGAAAGAAGGCGTTCTTCAATGTAAATAGGGCTTCTTCGAAAGAGAGCATCCAGACTCACTGGATGCTTTCTTTCGAAAAAGCAAGCCGCTTTTTCGAAAGTTCAACGTGCAGTCTAGACGCTCTCTTTCGAAAGAGGCTCTTTCGAAAGTATCTTTCGAAAGAGGCTTGCAGTCTAGACATAGCCTAGGAGAATACATGGGCTTTATAGCACATTCTAACTGTCAACTAGTCAGGGTTGCTTTGCAGTTGGATGGAGGAAGCATTTGAATCAAAGCTCCTTAGTTGAAAATGCCCAACCATCAATCTCCTCCCTTTCGGGATTACCTAGGTCCTAAAGAATAGCATCTGGCCCAAGAATTCTTATTTCAAGATTGCAGAGATGTTTGGGGACTTCATCTGTATTTCTGTTATTCAGCCTCAAGTTCTAAGAACCTATCATTCTTCCTTCCTTCATTTTATCCTTTGCTTTAGGATCTGCGTGCTGGGTTTTTTTTAGACATTCCCACTAGAGGGTAGCACTTGTCTTGCTAAATAGAAGATGAAGTCAAGCGAGTACAGATAGTGCTTCTATCTTTTGAAAGGGAAGGCAAGTCATTCTTCCCCACTGCTTTTGAAAAGTTTGGTATTGGTGAGCTTAAAGACCCACTTGAAACTTCTGCAGGTCCTCCAGAATTTCTTTCTGTTCCTAGACCATTTGGTCAGTAAAAGCTGCGTTTTCATTTCCTTAGTCTGAAAGACTTAATTGTGTAGATTTTCATCTGGAAATTTTAAGCCATTAGCATTGGATCCAGAATGAAATCAGTGTGAAGGTTCCCATTGACTTGAACTTCGTATCAGACCCTCGTAGAAGCTTCACGCTTTGAAAGTGCTGTACAAACCGGCCCGCTGATGGTGGGGGAAGGGGAGGTAGGGGTAGAGGGAGGAAGGGGACAATTGCCCCGCAGCCTGGGGCTCTAGCTGCTGTTCCTGCAGTAGTAATGGTGGCTGGAGCCCTGGGCTCTTTAAATTGCCACAGGAGCGCTGCACAGACACTCTGGGCAGCACTAAAGTGTATGTGTGTGGGGGGGTCTAAGTGGTACTGAGGGCTTGTTGCTCCCAACCCCATCCCTTCTGGGAGCACAGAGCCGGGGCCCCTCGCACCTTGCCTAGGGGCCCAGAAGCTGCCTGTGCCCAGGTGTACAAATAAACTCCTCCTCCCAGAAGCCTGGCAAGGTGAGCTTCCTTCTGCTAGAAGCACGCAGCGAGCTAGTGGAAAGAACTTGTGTGATCACGATGCTTGTGAAAAAATGTGCACGCTTTCAAAACTGTTTTGAGGTCAGTTAGAAAAACAGGCCTAGGGAGGCGTGGAATGTGTATGTCTCCACACAGGGCAGCGGACAGACTTGCTGAGCCCCGGCGCAAGATCAGGGGGTGGGGCTGGCTCCACAGCTGGGGAAGGGGCGGGGCCTTGGGAAAGAACTTGTGTGATCACGATGCTTGTGAAAAAATGTGCACGCTTTCAAAACTGTTTTGAGGTCAGTTAGAAAAACAGGCCTAGGGAGGCGTGGAATGTGTATGTCTCCACACAGGGCAGCGGACAGACTTGCTGAGCCCCGGCGCAAGATCAGGGGGTGGGGCTGGCTCCACAGCTGGGGAAGGGGCGGGGCCTTGGGTGGGGAGGGCGGGGCCTTGGGTGAAAGGGTATGAGTGGGGCTGGCCTGTCCCAGCCAGCTCTTCAGTGCCATCCAGAGTGCACCACCCGGGAACTTGGCAGTGGTTTAAAGCTGCCATTGCTGTCATGACTGGGACCCCTGGGCCCTTCTCAATCACTGGGCCCTGGGACGACATCTCCCTCTGTCCCCTCCTCCTCCCCGTCAGCAGGCCTCTCTCAATGCAACCTTCATTATGGAAGCTTTGTTAGAGATCCCGTAGTTATCCTGTAAACGCTATCTCAGATGACCCTGCAGCTGTGCCTCTTGTTAGATGCACAAACAAGCTATTTTTCTACAGCCAAAAAAACCTTTCATATTGAGTCACCTCTGCCAGCCCAGATCACCCCTGCACACTCCCAGGTGTTGTGGCCTTCCTTCTGGAGGGTTGTGACTGGAGAAGGTATCACGGCACTGTGAATTTAAGGCAGGGCTATTCCTTGCCTAGGCAGTGGCATGGGAGGTGTGGAGGTAGTTGCTGGAGAAGCCGAGGATAAGATGACCGAAGAATTATGCAGGACCTTGCGGACAAAGACAAGAAGCCTGATCTTGATTTGGTGGAGCAATTCGAAGTGCTGTCAGGATAAAGGAGGATGGATCTTAGATGTATTAACTAGAGGAAGAAGTGGCAGTCTTTGCACGTGGCCTGGATGGTTGGGGCATGGAAGGGCAGAGTGACCTGTATAAGAGAAGCAAACGCTTTAAAGTTTCTTAGCATTTTAAACTGTGTGTGTATTCTCTGCTGTGCGACGCTCCACTTGAGAACTTGGTTCTTCAGGAAATTTGAACCTTTCCCTTTGGAGATGGCAAGTGAGGATCTGGTGCAGTGGTTAGAAAAGTAGGGAGAGTCAGTATTTCTTGCCTTATTCTAAACCCATGGTGTCCAACCCACTAGCCACACATGGCTATTTGGCTGGTTGAGTGTTGCTAGTTGGCTCACAAAGCTATTTACATTAGGAGTCTAAAAGGGCGTCATAAGGTGGAGGGAGAAAACTTGTTCATCTTGGCCTCTGAGGATAGAACTAGAAGCAATGGTCTGAAACTCCAGCAAGGGAGATTTAGGTTGGACATTAGGAAAAAATCCTAACTGACAGGGTGGTCAAACACAGGAATAAATTGCCCAGGGAGGTTGTGGAATCCCCAGCTCTGGAGATATTTAAGAGTAGGTTAGGTATATGTCTATCAGGGATGGTCTAGACAGTATTTGGTCCTGCTATGAGGGCAGGGGACTGGACTCGATGACCTCTCGAGGTCCCTTCCAGTCCTAGTATTCTATGATTATCAGGATAATGTGGTTCGTTTGCTATAGGAGTCACCACTATAGAACTGATTGGACATCACGGTTCTAGACTTTGACCAAACTTGCCTTGTTATTGTAGCTTCCTAACTGGACTGTAGACTGTCTAATGGTAACTCTGCCAGAGATCTGTTCTCTGAGCCCTGTCCTTGCTACTAGTCTCTCAACCTTTCTCCTGATTTTTTTCCATATTGGGGCAATTTCTAGGGAGAGACTTTGAGCCAATAGGCGAGCTGAGGCTCAAATCGGTGTTCGACTTGCTCTAAGATCTTAGCACAACATATTTGGGCAGAAAGTTTTTATAAACGTGTTTGGTTTTGAAATTAATAAAAATCCACATTTTTCACAACAAAAGAGCAACTCGTTTGGTAGTTCAAACAGCCTTCCGGGGGGAGAGAGGTTAAAGCTTTACAAGGAAAGTCCTTTATTCCTTTGCGCGATGAGAGAAAAGCCTTGTCCATAGGAGTGAAAACTTGTCCGTGGTTTTCTGTTCAGCTGCGAGTGTGGAGGTGGGAGCAGAAGCTGATAGTTAAAATTAAGCCCAGCTAGTGCAAAGTTCTCTTTGCTTAAGAGGAAGCAAGCCAGTTGGCTAATGAGGGAAATAGCTAGGATGCCATCTCCTCTGTCTTGCTTGACTGATATCTGTTTTGAGCTGTTTCTGGCTCCTCCATGCTTTGTGGAAAGTAATAACTGTTAAGGGACTAGAGACTTCTACCAGAGGCCCTATAAATTGGGGATCACATTTCAGCCAGCTAGGGCCTTAGGAAATAGCTGGATCCCGAAGAGCTGCTCTTGTTTTGTGTCAAGTGGAACAGCTTGCTGCAAGCCGCCCTCCTCTGGCCTACGGTGGTCATGCTGTGCAGGGCTCCATCTTGCTTGGCATGTCCTCAACCACTTCCCTCCTCATCTCTGATGCTGGCAGCGTCTGTGTCCTCTTGAAGTCCCATCCATAGGCACAAAGTTTTTCTTTTCCACAGGGTGCACCTCTCCTCCTCTCCCTCCCTCCCC